TCAAGCTGCCCGTTCCTTTCTATCGGCAGACGCAACCAATGGACCAACAGTCATCACAAGAAGGAGGCCTGAAAGGGATCTTGACTGCTCCCGAGCCCTCGATGTGAGGACCTTTGGCTTACGAGCATTGCTTGGAGAGCCCGAGTCTTCTAATAGTTCTCACCTATGCAAGGCCTATCCTGAACGTGCATACCGATGCATCTCTCTGAAGTGGGAGACTTGAAGCGCAGCTTGGAAGCTCACCCGAGGAGTCTCCTGGAATCTGAACCTATCGAACGAACATAATCTCCCACTTCAACTCACTTGAATAGGACAAGCAGGCGACCAGCCAGCTCTTGCAAGCTTTATGCGCAGAATTCTGGTCCTGGGGAGCAGAGGAGAATGGCCAACCGTCGCTGGGTGGCTTCCCTCGGACTCTGGACAGATGCAAGTTCCGTCAACGAAAAGCATTTCTCATTCTTCTCCAGAGGTATTCTGTTACGATGCCTTCTCGGCGATGTCTTCGCAGGATTCGATATCTGGGCTGGGAAGTTGCTGTGGCAACCAAGGCGCTCAGCCGCATCATTAAGGACTATGGCCGGAGTCACCAATGGACATCAGCCGTGTCTGGAACTTACAGTGGAAGGGCTTCAGCTGCGCGATCCAGGTTCTAGATTGCCTCTAGAAATGCGATTTCCGGCGGTTGTGGCCATATTCTCGTGAATGCTGAAACTTCACACTTCAAAGACCAGCCCCTCTACCGATTAGGATCAAAGGAAGATGGGAAAGAGGAAAACAGGACATTCTCGTTTTGGGATCCCTCAGCAATGTCCAGTTTTCTGGGCGGCAAGACAGGACTCCACATTGGAAATCTCAAAAGATTGCAGTGAAATACGACTCTAACCTCTCTAAACCAAACTTTGATTGGCGTAGTTTGGTTTTGGTTGATCTATTGTCGGGTTTTATTTGATCCCGGGGTTTGGTGGTTTTCGGAGCCGTTTATGTTTTTGGATTCCCTGACCGGTCATACTGCACTCGAAAAACGTGCGATTAGCGTAATCACGTAACCAACAGCCTTGCATTCATGACTAGCGGTGTTAGTTAGGACTACTGCCTTTTAGTATCAGCGGGACGTCTACTATTGTCATTCCTCCTGCGACTGTTGCTGTTGCTGTCACGAACCACTGCTACTACTACCATCACTACTTTTTCTACTGCTCATTCCTCTCCGAACTCGCAGCCAGTCTCTCCTGCGCCTACTCTTCCTACTGCTACAACGACGACGACTGCTACTGCTGCTCCTGCTGCTGCTGCTGCTGCTGCTACTGCTACTGCTACTGCTACTGCTACTGCTACTCTTGGCGTGTTAGGCTGCTGGTCACAACTACAACAAGTACAACAACTACAACTACAGCACTACAGCTACAACTACAAGGAGAAGAAAAAGAAGAAGAACTACCACTACTACTACTACTGCGACTACTACTCCTGCTGCTGCTACTGCTACTACTATTACTACTACTACTACTACTACTACTACTACTATTACTACTACTACTACTACTACTACTACTACTACTACTGGGTGACAAAAAACTACTACTACTACTACTACTACTCGGCCCCGACCGAAGCGGTCAGCGGTTCCTATTCGGATTCCCTCCATTCCCCACCTCGTCGTAATCCCCCCCGCAGTGACCCCCCCACCGATCAAAACAGCTGTCGGGGGGGTTCGTTTGTGTGAACCCATAAATGAGCCCCAAGGTCCTGTGGTGAAGTCTCGCCTCCTCAAATAGATTTGGGCAGTCCCGCCCCCCGCCCCCCCGCCCTGCAGTTGTTGATGCACTGCACCTCGACTCCTGCAAATTTCTCTGGTTGTTTGTACGCAATCTCCTCCCCTTCCCCGGTCCTCCTCCGCTCCACCAACGGCGCCTTCAAGGCACCCGCAGTTCTTGGCGACCCGACGCGAAGCGTTGAAAATTACTATTTACTAGTTACTACTACTAGTACCACTACCACTACTGCTGCTGCTGCTGCTACTACTACTACTACTGCTACTAATTTAATTGTGCGCAATTTTCTAGCACCCGAAAATTATTTTCCTACCCCCTTGGCTTTTATTCCACTCCCCCAGAGCTTTTGCTCTGCCCCGGACAGCTTCTAGTCCACCCCGAGCAGCTCCTAATCCACCCTGGCAGCTTCTGTCCAACTAGACTAGCTTCTTTCTGGCCATCCAAGGCCCGATCTGCGCCCTTGGACAATTGAAAATTTTACTACCTGACACTCGGGTCCTTGGCAGTCTGGGTTGTGTGAGCTGTTTGGAGCTCAGGTCTGCTAGTTCTCTTCCTTGAGATTGTAAAAAATGCATCTGGTTTCAGCAAGCTTGCAGGCTTGCGGACACAACGCTCGCGTGCTGGGTTAGCCAAAGAAAGCTTCGCATATGCTTTCAGGCAAACTTGCGCGGCTCGGAAAAACCGGGGGGGTGGGGGGGGGCGGCCCCCCCCACTTGCAAACACGATGCTCCCCTGTTGCCTTATCTGAATGACTTCTTGTGCTTTCCTGTTCGAGAGGGGTGAATGGTACCGCCGAGCAACGTCTACGATCAGTGTACATGTGAACCATGACCTTTTCCTGGGGGCTGCGAGGACTTTAGGCTGTGGCCATATGCTCGTCCAAGATGCTTTCTTCGCGAAATCCACATGGATCTGCTCGTGCTCCATAGTCGCAACTGTTTGCACCGCTTCCACCAATATTCCAACCAGCATGTTCATCACGATCAAGGAGCCGACCAGAACATAAACAATGACTAAGGCGCCCATGAACCAGCGCTCCCCATTACTTCCTGACACTGTATCAAAGAACTCCTTTTGGTCCGGCATAATACAGTAGACAATAAGGGTTAGAACCGATTGCGGCATGGTCGGAAAGAACTCCGGCAGTTGCGATTGCTCGTCAGCAAGGCTCAGCTGCATAAAGGCGATGCTGAACACATAGGTGATCAGGAGCAACAAAACCATTGTAAAGAAGACGGACCGTGCAGCAACCAGAAGACCTTTGACCAGTATCATCAGCTCGGGCATATAACGGGCTACTCTCACAATCCTTGCAGTCCGCAGCACTCGAAGAATACGGGCGACGCGAAGAACTGTAGCACTTCGACCCACTGCCGATGATCCTCCGCCGGTACCCTCCAGCAGGAGAGCGACGGCAGGAACGAGCCACGTCTCAAGTACCATGAAAATGACCAGCAGGAAGTCGAATAGCAACCAAGAGTCTCTGAGAGCATGCTTGAAACTGATGTGGCTCATGTAACGAATCACTGCTTCACCGCTGAAGAAAATCAGAAAAACAACTTCCATCACAACGAAAATAGGAGCTGCTTCAAATACGACAGCTGAATCATTGAACTCGATGTCCACTGCAATCCACACCGCATTGATGTATATCATGAATAAGGACAGTCGCTCGAAAAAGGGATGTCGGTTGATTCGCTCCGCACAGGATGAACCATTGGATCTGGCTTTGGGCGAATCGAAGGTTTCAATGGCGGCCTTCCTAACAAGATCCGTGGCATGCGCTGCATTGAGATGGGAAAACACCCGTCCTTCGTCGGGGTCCTCCGAAGTCGAAATTTTTCTTGAGGCTCTTGACTCATGCTTGTGGATCCAGGGCAGGTTCTTCTTTCGCTCTTGGGCAACGTTGGGCAAGCTTGCAAAAGTGTGGATGGGAGCGCTGTCCACTCTCTCAAGCTCGACCATACCGGGAAGGACTTTTGCAGGGTGTGTCTCTGCTTTCTCACTTCCCCAAGCAGGAGCTGGACTTGACGAGCCAACCTGGACAGTTGTCGGAATCGGCAAACTGGGTTCCTCGATGTCGGTAGCTAAAAGGTCTGAGGGAATAAACGGTGCAGCTGGACTCGCAAATGGAGCATTCTTGATCCTGTTCAACTCGTCGTCCAACTTTCGGAGTACCTGCTTCTGACTTGCCGCTAGATCTGCTCTGAAGCTGCCCAAAGCATCCAACACCGTCTTTGTTTCATGCGACTTGGGACTCAGTGGCATGTTCCGGCAGCACCCGTCAACTTGTACGCACAGCCAAAGAACAACAACTGAATGCTGTGTGACAGCACAATCTAGTGATCAGTGATTCGAAGTGTTTCTGATGTACGTTCTGCGTGGGTTCTGGACACTACATTCGCACAAGTTCTGCTGTTAGCCAGACATGCTGCTGCATGCGGCGCCAAGTCAAGCAAGCAACAAGTGCGTCTCCTCGCGCTCCATCTCTACCGACGCAACAACTCCCGCCCTGATGCTCTCGACCCTGTTCGATGCCACCATGTACAAGAACTGGGCAAGTGTTTCGCATTTTCGAAGTTGCCGCATCAGCAGCCATGCAAACGAGAGTTCGGGAATTTCGTTACGTGACTTAGCCTTGACTCTTGACTGTTTTCGCCCGGATCTCCTACTTGCGTCTCCCGGCACCCGCACCATTGACTTCCTTCAGCAAGCACTGAGTTTATGAGTCGGAGTCCTTAGACTGAAAAAATAGGATGCTTAAGCACCGCTGGTGAAACAATTTCGTGCACAGACTGAGCGCATCCTTCGAGATGGTCCTGTCTCTCCGTTGAACACATCAATGTATTCTGCTGGCAAGCAGAGCAGCACTTGGTACCCTACTGCCGCGGAATTTGTGGCCTCATGGTGACACCATGAAGACTTAAAAGACGACACTTCAAGCCGTGCCACCACTCTTTCTCAAACTAAAGGCCGCAGTACCTGCAGTAGATCTCAATCCGAGTTCGTCTACGCATACTCATTCACCCGAAGTAGCCAGCGGCAGATGCGTAAGCATGATTTTTGGTGGCATGCACCTACGAGGGGCAAACAGCCCTCAGCCGGCGGTGAGACACAACGGCGCATTTCGCAATGACAGAAGTCCTGACTGATTAGGTCCTGCAATAAACTAGGTGTGGGGGCAAATGCCATACTCTTTGGATACCTTGGTGGCTGAGCAGCATGAACTCAAGCGCCAGTATGTTCGAACAGCATCCAAGCATTCCCTGCTCTCTCACAGCTTGCACCAGGCCTGAGTGCACATGGATCCCAGACGTCCTTGCGCCTTGAAACTTGTATGGTGTAATATTGCAGCAAGTGCTGGGCGAGGTACGTCATTGCCGAGTTTGGCCTGGAAGCTCTAACATAGATGTCCTCGATGTCCTCACAGGTGAGCCTGAGCTGCGGAGCAAGCTGCACAAGCTGCATTGAAACGAACAGCTCTTGATGAACTTGGTCAGAGAGACTGCCCACCAAGTGGAAGAAATCCATCAGAATGGTGTGCAAGTTGGAGAACTCTTGGGCCACAAACTTGCGCAAGTTGACAATATCCTTCACGGTGGTCTGATTTGAGCCTCACCAGGAAACCAGGCGGTCAGGCCAAATGCATGTGTACTCATAAAGCTCTGCCTCAACTTGTATGACGCTGCTTATCAAGGAACCACGAAGGGTCAGAATGGATTCCATGAACTCCGGGAAAGTCAAAGGCACACCGTCCTCGAACAGCAGCCTGGGTCCAGGGAAGCGAGGACTAGAGAACTCCCACTGCTGCTACTGCCAGCGCCACGGATCTCGTGAGTTTGCTAGTACCCGAGCGGCTTTCCGTACTCACGTGCCGCGAAGATATCGACCCCCAGCCGAGTCAGAGCCGTGAAAGCCTCTGGCCTCTCCAAGAGCCTGCAGACTTTGCCAAATCCAAGCTCGATTCACAATCTAAAGGCTACAGGCTAAGTGCACGGAAAGGGCTATGTAGGGCAGCTCCCACAAAACATGAATCTCGAAAACTCATCTGCCCTGCCTTTCGTATTCGCCTTCAGAAATCAAGTTGTCACCGTCTTCATCAGCATTACCTTGTTGGATGAGATTGTGGAGGACCTTATTCGACGCAAAGTTCTGCCATGCTCGAACATGGAAACAAGCCGGTGCCGAGGAGCCCGTTGCGCAAAGTCCACATGGATCTGCTCATGTTCCATGGTCGCGACAGTTTGCACAGCCTCGACCAGAATGCCCACCAACATGTTGAGGACTATGAGGGATCCGGCCAGGATGAACACCAAGAACAATGCCGCCATGAGAATGCTTTCGTCTTCAAGGCTCTGAAAGAAAGCTTCCGAATCTGGCATGGTGCATTGCACCAAAAGCCTCAACACGGCCCTGGGCACCGACGGAAACAGGACTTGTACTTGATGTAAGTCTGGGCCCTGACTGAGTGACACGAGAGCAATGCTGAACACATAGGTCATCAGCAGCAACAGGACCAAGGTGAAAAACACCGATCGCGCTGCCACGATGAGCCCTTTGATCAAGATCATGAGCTCTGGCATGTAGCGTGCAATCCTTGCTATCCGTGCTGTGCGAAGGACACGAAGCAAACGGACAACCCGCAGAACGCTTGCGGCACGCCCGAGGCCACCAGCTTCTCCAGCTCCGACCATCAAAATGATTGCAGGTACGAGCCACGTCTCTAGCAGCATGAGAATCACAAGCCCCGCATCAAACAGGAACCAGTAGTCTTTGAGCAGGTTCCTGGCGTGCTGCTGCGCCCAAAACCGGACGAACAACTCAGCCGTGAAGTAGAGTAGGAACGCCGCTTCCGCCAAGATCGTCCCAACGCCTGCTTGTAGGAGTGTTTCTGCTTGGTTGATCTCAATGTCAACAGCAATCCACACAGCATTTATGCCAATCACCGTCATGGACAGCCGCTCAAAACATGCATGCTGAACAATTCGCGTACAACAGTTCGTGTAGGAGGGAGCCTCAGCTGGCAAGTCCGAACCAAACTTGGAAATTGCATCCTTGCGGACTTTTTGTGCTGCAAATTCTGGGTTGAGCCGAGAGAAAACGCGGCTCTCTTCCTCATCGTCCGCATCAATCTTAGACCCTCTCGGCACTTTGCCATCCTCCACTTTTCGAATCCAGGCCATATGCTTCTTCCGTTGTTCGGCGATTGTCGTGAAGGTTGCAAGGGAGGCCGAAGCTACTGGCTGTACTGGCTCGTTGACATCGCCAGCCGGTTCCTCCTGCTCCTTGTCCTGCTGACCATCGCTCTCCTCGGGCATTCCGGGGAGCTGCATGACCGCAGGGACAGGATCAATTCCATCCCCTTTCGACGTACGGGAGCCGGATTCCGATAAAGCCGCGAACTCCGCTGGCCCCAGAGAGTCTGCAGAAGTCGAGCACAAGTTCTGGATGCGCACCAACTCTGCGTCCAACTTCTGAACAAGCTGCTGGTGGCTAACGAACAGCTCTTGGCGAATAGCTGCCAGGCTGCTAGCAGCCGCCTTCAGGCTCTCACTGGACTTCCGCGGCCACGGCATGGCGGAACAGCGGGATGCGTTGTGAACGTTCGAAACGCTTAGGACGCGGCACTTGGGAAAAGTTCCTACCAGTATTACCAGTACCTGCCGGTAGCTCTTGACCTTGACTCCCGTGATGTTTGCGCCTGAACTACCGTCGGCTTCTTTGCTCGAGGACGGGCGAGGCCATTGAATCATGCACTTCCGAGCGCTCTGCCACAACTGATCCCGCACGTAGCTCCCCGGCAGCCTGCTGCAATGATCGAACATATCGGACTATCCTCCTAGATCTTCCGCGGTGACAGTGACGGGGTTTCACAAAAGCGACGAAACCAAGTTTAACTCAAACTGTGTCCGCGTGCAGCTGGAACACCTCACGACACATCCGGAAAACGAAACACCGAGTCGAGCTCAATTTGCACTTTTTCCTTTGCTTGCGAATTCAGCTCCGCTGAGTTGCAGCACCACCCACGCGGCTTGCAGCTAGGGCCGATGTGGTTCAGAAGTCAAGTACAACAGAGGCAACAACACTCCCCTGACGGCCCGATACTTGCGAACGCAGATCCTGCTGCACATCGGACCCTGGTCAAACAGCTGTAATTAGGGTGCTGGCATGCTCAGCCCCTGAATGCAGTCTCAACATGTCAGCTAAGGGAGCGTTAGTCCACAAATGAAATAGAGTGAAAACATGTCATAAGGCTACTGTTTCACACTTAACTTCAGGGTGCATTCGGCGCTAGATTACACCGGCAAGTTTATGCTTGCGTATGCAGATATGTCCTGTGCCTCTGCGAGGCAAGGACAACGACGAAATACGGGGTAAAATAGCCGAAAGCAATGCATCGCTAGGTGCTTTGCATCTGCATGCATCCGGGCTTGGCATCGACTGTGTTGCCCGCTGAAACAACTAGGACCCGTGTTGTCTCGGAAGCCAAACCGGAGGATGAGGTTCTTTGCGCCTTGATGCGGTAGGCCATGCAAGCCAATTTCTTCTGTCATGTGTCAAAGTAGTTGTGATAGATATGCTTTCAACAGCGGGCACTGATCAGGCGTCACATATTGTGACAGGTTTTGTCGCAGACAGCGCTCGATCGTCGCATTAGCTCAATTGAAGCGCTGATTTGTCAGGTCCGACGACTTTACACCTTCCATCACCTACGCTTGTGAACGAGTCATGTGTTTTGCAGGGAGGCCAGTGCCATCTCATGAGATAAATCCTGAGCAAGCTTCTCGGACATGCCCTGGCCTCAGTCACTACGGGGACATGTGCTCTCATACAACTCCAACCAGCAACAAGGCAATGCAACGATGATCGAACCGGCCGAACATCATGCGAGCGGACACGTCCACACGTGGTGTAGTCTCAATCCAGTGCATGTAGCAGCGGCTTTAGGCTTGAACATGGTCGGTTGATGCAGTACGAAATTGGACGCTGACATGAAATCTAGCCTGAAGACTGTGCACACAACTTGGAACTTGCAACATCTTGCAACAGCCACACTGCTTGAAGATGATGCCAACATGAACCGTTTCAGAGGTGCTTAACTCGGACATCTGCCTGTCGCCTACGTCTCCACATGCCTAGAGATCGAGAAGGCCCCTTTGTGCGTTGCCACACTGTACATGTTCGGCATCTTCCACTTCGAAACACATCCATTCTTTTATTTGGGACCGTGTGAGTCTCGTAGCATTGCGAAGTCCTGAAGCCAAGGAGCCTGCCAGAAACCGGCACACATCCATCAGAACCGCATGGAGTTGCGAAAACTCGTCTGCTGTGAACTTCCGCAGGTTAACAATGTCCTTGACGGTGGTCTGGTTGGACCCGCGGAGTGTGAGCATGGCATCCATAAACTCCCCAAAGCTCAAGGGCTCACCATCCTCAAAAAGCAACCTTCAAGCAACATGGAATGGGATGGTGCTGGGTGTTCGTCACTTTTGTCAAGAACACTCATTACATGCCTTGAACCTGCTCCCGCCATGCACATCCGCAATCGTTCCTGAGAGCAGCAGCGGCGGTGCAGGCCTCTTCCTCTTCCATGCCACGCTGCTCTCGATCAGCGTGCCCCCACCGCCCTTCTCTCCCTCCCCAAAGGTGACTGAAGTGCAGTACCGAAAGCCGGTCTACGAGTTGATGCAAGGCAACTGAAACCGGACTGAAGAACCAGGCCGGAGGCGTGACTTTCGCAAATTATGCCGGGCACGGAATGGTAAGCCACGAAGAAGCACCAAGCGGATTCCCAAATGCGCAGGAACTTTCAAGGCAACCTCCAGCCTGAGTTTTCCTCCAGGAAACGCAAAAGTTGACAGAGCCATCTGTTCAACATGATGTTGGGGCCTCCAGGGCCCTGACCAAAAAAATACATCGGAGCGACGGCTGAAAATCAGAAGCCAACAGAACTTTTAGAGGAATCATGCAACGACGTCCACAGAGCAGGGCGTCCGTAAGTGTCTTTTGCAAGAGGATCTCAGGTCCACAGGAGGGCAGGCTGGGTTGGACGCAAGCGCTGCCATATACGGCACCTGCCTGACAGATCGGCAGCCCCAAAGGTCGGAGCATTTGAGTGCGACCTTCTGAAGGGCCGGATATGACTTGATTGAACCTTGATCGCAACTCGGGGAAGGACTTTCGAGCGCCGAGCAGACAGGCGGAAAGGGATGACGCGTTTGGACAGCAACAAAGGCCAAGCACACAGATGTCGAATGTCTGAAACCAAAGTTGCTCGGATGCTTGTCATCTGGGCTCTCTTACTCTACCGAGGACCTGAAACTGAAACCGCTTCTCCGTAGTGCATGCTACACCGTAATACAGCCCCATCATCGGGCTTCCGAGTGACTTGCTGTACTCCTTTGCAGCGTACATGTCCACGCCGAGCATCAATAAGGCCTCACTCGCATCGTCTCGTTCAATCAGCCTGGGCGAGATGACAGCGCAGCTACCTGGAACCCGTGTACGGAGTGTACGGGCACCGAGGGCACAAACACGTCACATCCAGGTCGAGGCACTTCAAGAACTCTTCTTCGGAGATCTTGTTATCTTTGTTTTGATCCGCCGAGGTCTTGGCAATCAGCTGCCATAACACCTGAGCAAAGACAAGCATAGCTTGCAGCCATGGTACGAGTACATCGTAGGTCAAGCCATCTAACCAAGAAGCGTTCTTTGCAAGATCCACTCGGATTTGCTCGTGCTCCATCGTAGCGACAGTCTGAACGGCTTCTACAAGAATTCCCACCAGCATGTTCAGGACGATGAGGGATCCGATCAATATGAATATTAGCACCTTCAGCAGAATCAGAGCTTTGCTGACTGCTATGGCCAGCAAAGCAACAATGAGCCACATGGCTTGCCAGCGCACTGTTTCTAGGGACCATGCCGATGTGCTTTCTGCAGCCAAAGGTCCAAAGCCCCCATAAACCAACTCTGGCTCGCTACTTCTCTGAAGAAGATCTCCCGGTCCGGCATGACACTCTTTACTACGAGGGTCAACAGAGCTGAAGGCATAGATGGAAAATGCTCTTCCAAGCCGGTACCCTGGCGGATGTCTCAACGTCACTGCCATCCAACAATCTCATGAGAGTGCAACATCTATCCAGCCCTTGGTCCAAGCCTCGCTGAGCCGCGTAAACGCTATGCTGAAGACGTAAGTGATCAGGAGCAGCAAAACCAATGTAAAGAACACCGAACGGGCTGCCACCATGAGCCCCTTTATCAAAATCAGGAGCTCTGGCATGTACCTGACTCGATATTGAATTGCAGCATGCCTGCAATTCACTCGCACTGGTTTTAGTGCTTGCCATCCGGGGAACATCCTTCGCCCGTAAAGGGCAGACTGGCGCAAGACTTGCGTCTGTTCGCGAAACTTGTGAAATCTTTCCAACACTTATCAACATAAGCCGCCGCAATATGGCGCTGGGTAGCAGCAGATCCGAAAACCACTATAAAAGCTGCTAGTTCGTTGCGAGCACGCGTGTTTTTTTTCCCAGGCGTTTGGGGACAAGATAGGTGCCACTGATGCAAACAGAACTTCAGTTTTTGCGAAGCTTGAACACCTCACGGAGGCCATGGGTGGAGCTTGAGAGTTTGAGTACTCTGGAGAACGAAGAGTTGAGTTTGATGAGCGGCAGGAAAAAATACAAAAAACTTCGCGGACCGCCAGTTTTTTGGATTGAAGCCGCAAAGGTCGGGGCCGCACGGCGGAATTTGGGTGGGGGTTCCGAGAGGCTCCATGTGGCGGCTCTGCGGCTTGCTTTTGTAAGTTTTTGAGGGGCGCAGATCAAAAAGGCTGCAACTTCGAAATTTTGAAAGCTTCAGCAACGGACCGGTTGTCGAACAAACTTTAGTGCACGATTTCGGAGACGATGAAACAAGAGAACTTTGAGTTTGAGAGCATGCAGCGTGTGGGCAAAAAGGCGTCGCGGTTCAGGGTTAATTGTGGGATCGGAACATGTTCATCCTCTACAGGCATGACAGTACAGGTATGCCTGCAGAGTCGTGGAGTATGATCCCACTGGACCCCAGATCAACTTTGTGGGATCCCCCCCGCACAAAGCTCATGGGAAGGACCTCCCATTTTGATTTCTGAACCTTGGAAGATGTTCATGCCTTCCCTCTTCGTCTACACGAACACCAGGCCCCAGGTGACCGATACTGCTTACAGCCAACGGTGAAAAGGTCCTACAAAATCAGCACAACCATGATCAGGCGCGCCCGACGACCGAAAGCTTGACATACTGTATTCCTGCCCAGTTGCCGTGCTACACGCACGATTCGCGCCGTCCGCAATACTCTGAGCACGCGCGCCACCCTCAGGACGGAGACCGTCCTGCCCAAGCTGCCGCCAGAATCATCACCTGTTGACATGGTTACAGGACATGATGTGGCACCAGTACTCTTTGTGCAAGCTAGGGCACTCTCCGGGAGCACGAGCAAGAACATCGGGACGACCCATGTTTCCAATAGCATCATGACCACCAGTAACATATCGAAAATGAACCAGGGGTCTCGGAGAGCTTTCCAAGAGGTTGAATATGACATGTATCTGACAACAGCCTCTCCGACGAAGTAGAACACGAACACGACTTCCACTGTGATGAACAGGGGCTCTGCTTGCCAGACCACGTCTGCATCGTTGTATTCAATGTCAACAGCCAGCCACAAGGCGTTCAAGTAGATCATGAGCAACGATATCCGCTCAAACATTCCATGCTGCACCATGCGTGTCCAAACAGTTTCTGTCGTCCCTTCCACAAGCGTGTTGTCAAACTCTTGTATTGCTTGCTGGCGCACTCTGTCTGTCGCGAACTGCGCATGAAGCTGCGAGAACACAGGCTGTGTGTTTCTGGCACCTTTTACCGATTTGGGTAGGTCGGCGTGCTGATTCTTGTGGATCCAAGACATGTGCTTCCGGCGGTTTTTGGCCACTGTCGACAAACTGTTGAAAGCCAAGGGTGAATCGACCTGGCTCCTCACTGAGTTCCTCCCTGCACCCTGCACCGATGAGACATTTGCTGGAATGTCTGTTAACTCTGGCGGCTTCGGGACACCCCATGCGCTCTTTGCTTCCGTGCTCTGTGGTTGTGCTACCACACCTGGCTCCAGCACATCGACGGGCAACGTTTCCGCAGCATCCGGTGTGCCGAGTTTTTCGAGCTGCCTCAGCTCTGCATAACACAAACATGTTATCATTCTGCTAGGGACTTTGCTTATTGTGGAAGCCTGGGAGTTGGGTACAGTAGCAATTCTATTTTGGGACCCGCCTCAGCTCAGCATCGAGCCTCTGCACTATGACGCTTTGAGCTTCGAGGAGGCTCATCTTGAAGCTTTGCAGGCGCTGCCGTACTCCATCAAGTTCGGCTTTCTGCATCGAATGTAGATGCTTCCAGCACCCCTGCAGGGTCCCAGCCCTTACCCTGCTGCTTGTTGGTGAAATGGCTCGGAGCAGGGAGGGTATTCAGTCGTGAAGTAGACAACCGGCAGTCAGAAACACCTCCTGAGTCCTGAGTTGAGCTTCAAATCCTGCGCGCCAATTCATGCCAAGCGTCGCCAGGCTGTTTTAACACGACGGCGCTGAGAAACGTATGGGACGAGCTTACAAGTTGAAAAGGCAATGGGCTATACCAGGACGCACCAATTCTGGACATTGCCCCGGACCGCTTCGCACTTGTAATTCCGACTTCGGAGAAACCAATGCCAATGAGCTAGTCAGCCACTTGCGGTGAGCGCCCAGGGCATATGCATGAATCTCTTTGTAGCATGCATCTTGTGATGCAGAATTGCTGCCGCAACACATGGGGGGATGATCGAAAGGGTGTACTCTGTTCAGTATTTCGCTAGTCACTGAAAACTATATGCCAGTGCCCAGGGGAATTTTCAACCTGTAACCCAGGCCGTGTTCCGCGGAGCGCTGCAGACGACGCTATCCTGTTGTGCAGGGGGCGCTTTGCTTTGGGTGCTTGCGTGCAGGGGGCCGAGGTATAGAGTTAAGGCGTGTCACTGGGGGTGAGGATTATGAGCCTGGGTATGTTCGGGCTGTCGTGGCCAGCCTCTCTGACAGTCAACAGAAGGTGTAGGCTTAGCACAAATCTAGCACCAATGGCTAGCGAGTTGACCCCAGCATCCCCCAGCCAAACATCAAACAAAGCAGCTGTTGCAGATAAGTTTTGGGTCCTGTATTGAGAGTGTCGGCGTGGGGGGGGGGCGCTACTCCGTCTGTTCCACTGGTTCCACTCGCTCCGACCGTTCCAAACGTTCCAGTCGTTCCACTCGCCCTGTACGTGACCTGCTCGACTCATTCCTTTCGTCTACAGCGCGAGTGGCGCGGACGACTTCAATTCCTCGCCCCCCCTCCCTTGCACGGTCGCACTGTTCTTGGGGCGCCAAAGAATTAGTTTGTTGCAATCGTTCCACTCGTTCCTGTTGCCTATAGCTGTAGCGCGAGTGGTGCGGACGACTTGAATTTGCCCCCCCCGCACGGTCGCAATGGACTACAACTACGACACAACAACAACAACAACAACA